TTTTTTCTTACTTCCTTTTACTTTTCTAGAGAACACGTCTACTTCGTCACAACTTACTAGTCGGTAGTGTAGGTAGGATATATATATATATATATATATATATATTTAGGACGTTGTGGGCTTGAGCGCCCTTATGCTGCTCTCCTACCTTTTTTATTCTTTCTTATTTCACTCTCTTATTATTTTTTGTTTATATGTGAGACTTTGAGGTCGGAGGTTAAGACTCGTATATAGTGTATCCCCAGCATTATATGGGTCATACTTTCGCAGTCACCTCCAAAAACCAGAAAAATCTAGTACTCCACATTATAGCCTGTGCTTTGGTGACTTTGTTTTGTTATGCAGCGCTTTTTGTAAAGGCTTGTTTACTATTTGAAATATGATTTACTATTTCCGCTGCAGCAGACAAGTTTCGCTGAATTCATAGCTCGACGGTATTGTTGAGGGGGACGAATTTAATAAACAAAGTAGGCCTAATATAGCGTTAGACAGGTGAGGAAAAGAAATTCACAAATAAATAAACAATTAATCTGCTTAATGATAACGGATAATTATTAATTCTGGCGGTATGTCGCATGTTATCCAAACATCTAAAGTATATTAAGTTGTTAATGGTGAATAAAAGGGTATACACCAAAATCAAATGTTGCTACCTTGCCCAGCTGTTTAGCTTACCATAGACTTCTGTCTTAAGAACTCTTCTTTTTTTTTGTTCAGAAACTACCAGATGTTGAGATGGCTAAAGAATGCCGATTATTTAGCCGTCGTATCCACGTCTCTCTTAACTAGAGCTCTGTTATAGGTTCCATCACAACAGTAGTAAAATAATTAAGAACCGATAAAACTACTAGTCGTGAAACGTATAGAAATATAGAAACTTATAGAAATATATTCTACCATTTCCATACCTTACATGGAAATAAAAATTGTAGAACATGTTAGATGAAACATAATGGGGCGATCCTCCTTTTATTTCCATGTCAGATGTTTATGAAGGTTCCAGCTGTTGTCTTCTTAGTGCAAAGCTATACAATGCAACTAACTATCTACACTCTGTCCACTATGGGGAATCGAGCCACGAGTTTTAACAAAGGCTCTAGAAAACGAATTAATGGACATCTCTGCTAAAACGTAATTTACAGCCATGATACATGGATGACATCCTTACTATGTGGAAATACGATTTCCTTGAAAAAGTTCTGTTATCTTAAACAACCAGCATTCCTCTATAACGGTTATATTTTTCTTTGAATTGTTTGTTTGTTTGCAATTAAGCACAAAGCTACACAATGGGCTATCTGTGCTCTGCCCACCACGGGTATCGAAACCCGGTTTCTAGCGTTGTAAGTCCGCAGACATACCGCTGTGCCACCATTAGCACCTTTTCTACCACCAGTTCCAAGTTTGTCTGTGACAACATTCGTATGGTATTTTTCCCATCCCCTTTCCATCTTGCTCTCCAATGGCCAGGAAGTTGTTGATGTATAAATGAGATGCTGTGCCATCTCTCTCCTACCTCTCTTGCTCTTCTTTTGGTTCTTTTTAACTGGATCTGGCAGGAGAATTTTTTCCAGATGCTTGGTGCAGGACTATTGTTCTCTCTTTCATAAAGCCTGGAATGGATCGCAAGATTCCATCTAATTATCATCCAAATGCTTTGACTAGCTGTCTCTGTAAGATTTTGGAGAGGTTGGTTAATGCTCACCTTGTTTGGCTTCTTGAATCAAACAACTTTTTCTTGCCACCCAGTTTGGTTTTCGTCGACAATATTCCACCGTGGACCATCTGATTCGTCTCAAAATTTCGATTAGGGGAACCTTCCTCAAGAGAGAGCATCTTGTTTCTGTCTTTTATGTTGAGAAGGATTAATGACACTACATGGAGGTTTGGCATTTTGCAGGACCTACACTCGTATGGGTTGTGTGGCCATTTTCCCATTTTTCTTGACAGGTGATTCCAAGTACATGTGGGTTCAACCCTTTCCCGATCCTTCACACAGGAACTTGGAGTCCCTCGAAGCTGTGTCTTTTCAGTATCAAGATTAATGCTATCAGTACACAACTTCCTCCTACTGTTGCAAATGACTTCTATGTCAACAACTTCCACATTTCTTGTTGGTTGTCGAATATGAGGCAGCTTCAGACTTCTCTCACTTGCTTGTAGGAGTGGACCACATCAAACTGTTTCACTTTCTCTTCCTGAAAAACCGTCTGTGTCCATTTTTACCATCAGCAGGGTTTACATCCCCGATCCTGAGCTCTGCCTCAGTGATGTTCTTGAGGCTTATCGTTGACCATAAGCTTACTTTTATTTCTCACATTAAGCAGCTTTGTGTCAAGTATACAAGGGCCAGGAACATTCTTCGTGGCCTCTTTCACTTCTTGTGGAGAGGATCGATGTTCTATATTTAAGATCAATTGTGTCTTCAAGGTTCTCTGGCTTATAGTTCTGCCAAGCCCTCTGCCTTGAAGGTGGACCCTGTATATCATCTGAGGCTTCGGAAATAGGAAACACACACACACACACACACACACACACACACACACACACACACACACACACACACACACACACACACACACACACACACACTACTCTCCTCCGTACCTACCTACTAGTAAGTAGACGTACTACTACGTACGTACTAACTAACTAAACGTAAAGTTAAGTTTGTTTGTTTGTTTGT